TAAAATATGGTGCTGGAATTAATTTGTATATATTATAAAATAATTAAATTTAAAACAGCTACTGCTATTTTTACTGTTTATAAAAAGCTAGATTTCATTATGGTATGCCCCCACAAACACAGTTTGGTTACTCTGTATTAGTTTCTTTCTGTTTCATTTGCTTAAGGTTATATCATGTTTGCTAATGGTACTCATATATTTAAATGCTTAATCATCTAAAAGTAGAAAATGTGATTGTTTGAAAGGATTGGAAGACCCAGAAGTGTAGCCTTGTTGAAGAAAGTGTGCTATACACAATGAAAATGTGTTACTCTTTCTGTGAATAAAATGTTGGTTGATAGCTAGGCAGGATTTTCTGGCCAGAGAGTATGCTGGGAAGAAAAAGGCTAGAGTCAGAGGAGTCAACAGCAAGACCTGAAGAGGAAACAGGAAGTGCAAGATATAAGATTGGTAATGCCACATGGCAAAAATGGGTTAATTTAGGTTGTAAGAGCTAGTTAGTACTAAGCCTGAGCTATTGGCCAAACAAATAAAATTAATATTAAGTCTCCATGTCTGTTATTTGGAACTGGTAAGTGGGAAAGAAAAGTATGCCTAGAAGTGTGCCATTGGGGTGGACTTTTGGGTTTCAAAAGTCTATATCAAGAATAGGTTCTTGCTTGCTTCATGTTCCCTTCAGCTCAGTATATAAAGCTTTCAACTACTACTCCAGCACAATGCTTGTTTGTTTCCTTGATATGGGACACCCTTCCATATGCTGTGAATATGTTTTATTACCATTGGTTGATAAAGAAACTGATTTGATCAATAACAAGACAGAATAGAGCCAGGTGGGAAATCCAAGAAAAATGTAAGGGAAAAAGAAGGCAGAGTCAGAAAGATGCCAGCAGCCACTGGAGAAGCAAGATGTGAGGTAACAAGTCATGAACCTCATGGCAAAATATAGAATAATAGATATGGGTTAATTTAAGCTGTAACAGCTAGTTAATAATACGCTTGAGATAATAGGTCAAAAAGTTTATAATTAATATTAAACCTCAGAGTAGTTATTCAGGAACTGGCAGGAGGGAGAGAATCCTCCAGTTACATTACTGTCATAATGATTATTGGCTAATTCTCAGAAACTGTAAGCAAGACTCCAATTAAATGATTTTTTTTTGTATAAAAGTTGTCTCTGTCATGATGTGTCTTCACAACACTAGAACATTCCTTATGACAAAAGCTGATAACTGGAGTGGGGTGTTAATGTAAAAAACCTGACTATGATGTTTCCTAGACTATGGAAACTTTGGTACTTTGGACAATAATAATAAATAAATGCTCTAAGTTGAACTAAATAGGCCATTCTAGGAGGAACATGGAAGACAGTAGTGCTGAGGGCGATTTGGATTTTGGTAACACAGTTCAAGAAATTTCAGAAAAACAACAATTAGAGATAAGTTTTGAGATATTTTGGCCAAAAAAACAAATGTAATGTTTATTGCCTTTGTACTTAAATTTTTCCTAAGGCTAAATTGAAGAGTTTTGAATTAATGTCCTTAATGGATAAGATTTCAAGACAGCCTAGTATTGACTGTGTCATGTAGATAACGGTATTCACTTTTATGCAGAGCTACAATGAAAAAAAAACAAGTGGGACAAAGAGAAATACAAAATATACAGTTTGAGGAAAAAATGGAGCACCAGGAAATGTTATGGTGGAGTAAAGACTTATGCTCAAAGAGAAGAAAGTTTACAAAAAAAACTAATGCTAAAAGGACTAAAGGTGTTAAAGTCAAGACAAGACACCACCCAGCTAATTCTGCAATGAGTGAAAGGAAAAGGCCCTGGGGGTATTTCTAGGTCTAAATAGCAATGGGAACATGATGCAATGCAAATTGAGGGGGTGAACAAGTGCTGGATAAAAAAAAAGGGGGTGTTGCTTTCAGAAGGTGCGGGAGATTTGAAGAATGCTCTGGCTTTAGACTTGGAGATGCAGAATTTGGAGTTTGTCTTGCCTTTGGTTGTTCTTGTTTTAGTCCAGTTTTCTTCATTATGTCCCTTTCAGCTCTTTTGGAGCACTAACGTATATTTTGTATATCGTATGTTGGAAGTGTGTGGTTTGCTTTTTGCTTTTACTTTTACAGGAAGTTATGGTTAAGAGATAGTCTTGTGTCTCAGAAGAGACATTGGATTTTGGACTTTTAAACAGTGTTGAGATTGTGAAAGATTTTGGGACCTTTTGAAGTTCAACTAGATGCAGGGTGAGTCGTAATACGCCTATAAGCCTATGTGGATCTAGGAGTAGAATGTGATTTGAATGAAAATGGCTCACATGGACTCATAAATTCGAATGCTTGGTCACCAGAGAGTAGAACTGTTTGGGAAGGGTTAGGAGGGTTAGTAGGTATGAGCTTATTGGAGGAAGTGTGTCACTGAGGGTGGGCTTTAGTTCTTCAAAAGTTCATGCCAGACCCAGTCTCTCACTGTCTTCCTCTTGCCTGTCAATCAGGATGTAAAGCTCTCAACTACAGCTCCAGCCCTATGTCTGTATTCTTCCTACCATAATCATCATAGACGACCTCTCTGAAACTGTAATCAAGCCCCCAGTTAAATGCTTTCCTTTATAAAAATTGTCTCAGTCATGATTTCTTTTCACAGCAATCAAATAACTAAAACAGTTATGTTAGTCTGAGCCTCATTAATTTTAGTAAAACTGAGCAGATATTATCAAAATATTACAAAGTTAATATGAGATTTAAGAAAATTGAATGCAAAGTTACTATTTCTTGTACCTGAACACCCACCAAGGCAGAGCATGGCAATAAAAGGCAGTTGAGCTGGGGACTAGATTTTGGCAATAGTTCCAGTAGCTAAAGGAAAGAAATCCAGTAGTCAGGAAAGAAATGAGAGTTGTAGCATGAGGGCCAACTTGTTGGTTTATCTGTCCCACCCAGCACCCCACAGCTGGCAAGCCCCAAAGAAAATCACACACAGGACTCTATAAGATTATAAACTGATTGGCCCATTAGCTCAATCTTCTTATTAACTAATTCTTACATCTTATGGTAACCCATAATTCTTGTCTGTGTTAGCCATGTGGCTCAGTACCTTTTCCAGCTGTCAGATCACATGTTGCTTCTTCAGTGATCTGGGCAGGAATGGCGGAGGGAGCTTCCTCCTCCCTAGCCTTCTCCTATTCTCATTGCCCTGCCTCTACTTCCTGTCTGGTTGACCCGCCTATACTTCCTGCCTGGCCAATCAGCGTTTTATTAAAATACATGATTGACAGAATACAGACAATTCTCCCACACCAGAGAGTGGTTTGATCCAAAGAAATATTATCAAACTATTCATTACTGTGAACTTTTAAGTTCAGGTCCAAAGGGTACCCACAGGTCCAAAGGGTACCCACTGGACTATCCTTAAGAATTTCCAGTCAACAAATGAAAGAGAACATGTTAGTGACGAGTAAAACTGAAGACTGCCAATACCCAACACAAAGGATTGGAGGTAGATATATGGGATTCACAATGATCTTCTAAAGAATCGCCTAAAATTTCACACTGTAAGTATAGGCAAGGATCAGGGAGAGACAGGGAGGACATCTGAGTCACTTGGGATATACATAGTGGAAAACTAAAGGAGCAGAGGTATTAGTTAAGTGAAATATAATATTGCTCCTGGAACATCTGACAGGCAGTGGTCTGTCTTGTTGCTGTTAGTGGTGAGGTTGTCACACAGAATCCCTTAAGAGAACACAGGTTGCTATGGAACTCTAGAAAGGGAAGAAAATTCACAATCCTTGGAAATTTCTGGATGGTCTTAAGACGATAAACATTTCTAACATTCCTAGGAAAGACCCATAAAAGGTCCAGGAAGAAAATCAACAGGGACATTTAACTGGCAACCAGAACAGAATAGACATAACATGGAAATAAGACAAGATTTGCCTTGTCATATGCAGCTTTAAGGTTTATAAAACCCTCTACCATGTGTCATCTTATTTGAAGTTACTAAGGAAACATGAAAACATTTGATCTAATCCTTATTTTATACATGAAGAAATATTAAATTTATTCATGCTAAGGGTCTAAACCAAGGATTCATTGTATATTTGTATAATACCTGAATGTAAAAACAGCCACAATCATTCAGATGAAAAATATTCCCTTTGTGTTAATTAAAATTCCTCCTCACAATGGCTTGTCAACCTTCAAACTTACGTTGGTTCTAGCGACACAAATATACTCTACCAGCTACTGGAGCAGGGTTTACCTTCAGCAAAACACAATTCTATGGCTACTTTCATGGCTCTATCTCTAAACAATGATAGCAGCCAAATCTGAAGAAAATCACATTAACTATGTTCTAGACAGTTTCTAGCAGGAATTAACTTCAAGAGGATTGACAAGCCAAGTAGCCAGTAGAAACCTGAATCTCAAGATGGAGTCTCCACCCCATACATTAACAACTACTTTATGGCTATTCAAAAATGGTGGATATTTCAGAACAATGTACTCGGTGAAAGAGAAACATGGACTAATCTTACTACAAAATTAGAAAAAAGTAACTTTTTAGTGTGTGTGTGTGTGCATGTGTGCATGTGTGTATGCTTCGAGGGAGGTGATTGTGTGTTTTGTGGGAAATTCAGAAGGAAGCATTAAAGAAGAAGGAAAGACTCAGTAAGAAAGTTTGCTTCCAATTATTTTAGAGTATATTTACAAAATCCTGGATGCTGTTCCTTACACTCAACAAACATGCATGAATTTCACTTTCATAGTCGGGATTTTTATATGATCAAAAGCAGTTTGGAATGATTCCTTACCAGAAATTAGAGCCCTCACTGTGATTTCTTGAAACTGAAAATATTTTCTTGGCTCACTATACCCATAGTCTGAGGCCTTCCTCTCTGTGCTTCAGAAACTCAAATCCAGGTCCAAGTATCTCATGTATGAGTGACTCCCTGGATTGACAGGGACCACTCCCAGCTCACAGAGGTCCCTCTGTAGAGAACTTACTCTGTCAGTTTTCCCTTCTGTCTGAATGCTGGCGTGGCTACGGACCTCATGATCTTCCTCAAGGTCGGAAACATCCTCTAGTTCTTCTGGAGTCTGTGGAAAGAAAGCAAAGCACAGCAGATGAGGCTATAAAGTATGGCTGTCACTTTGAAAAGCATCTGTAGGACCTCAGGAAGGTGACTATCTAGTCAAGCTATCATCTTGAAATCCAAACCCAGCTATGTGCACAAGAGAGGCAGTAGTTCATATAAAGTTCAACATTTTCATACCAGTATCATAATAAAGGGGAAACATATACATATATGCATATACAAATATTGTCCAGCCACACAGTAGAATATAATTTGTGCGTAAAGAGAGGCCAAATAGTTATTCGTGTTATACAGTAGATGAGCCTTGATTATATCATGCTATGTGAAAGATGTCAATTATAAAGAATACATAGACTGTGACATAAAATTATTGAAACACACAGATTTATTGGAAACCAATTTGACTAGTATTTTGTGGGAGAAAGATGCATGGACTGTTAAATGGGTACATACTTCCTCTTTGGGATGCTGGCAATTCTGAAATAAGTTGAAATGATGAGCAACTGTAGACCATATAAATACACTCAAAGCATTGCTTTTGCTTTGAAAATGAAGAATTTTATTATATATATATATATATTATATTATATTCCAATAAATGTAGAGTAGAAGGACAATTAGAGATCAGATGGAAGATTTTCAGTCAGTGCAAAGCAATTTGCCTAGCCACTATATGGTTACTCTGAACCAAGTTGTTTAGCATTAACAAGTCAGACAAATTTCATAGATCAATAAACCACAACTATCAAGATACCACCATAACTATCAAGAAACTACATTTTCTAGAAACTCACATGTAAAAAAAATAACTTGAATTTCTCTGTGTATTATCAATAGTTAGCTGATGTACATTCTCTTTTTTCAGCATCAGTTGAGACATATCTCGGTCAAAAAAATCTCTAGATAGAATTGGATAACTGAGATGGTTTGCCTCGCTTCCTCAGCTTGTCCTTGTCATAGCTCATCACAATTTAGCTCTTTATTTATTTTTAATTCGGCAGCTAAGTATTGAATGCTCTACCATGATAGGTAAGAATCAGGTGATTGCACTTACCAAAATAAGAATTTAAAGGTAACAGCTGTCATTACTGCAAATACAGATAGAAATGCATACAAACCATGAATATTTGTTTCATTTTACATAGTCACAACCTTATACTATGATGTCTTTAATATAAAATTATAATGACAAATCTAGGGAAAAATAGCTTTATATCAAAATCATTCAAAATGAAGTAAAATCCAGTGTGTTCTGTAGACATGGCCTCTTTAGACCAATTCTGTTTTTCTTTAAACTTTGCTTATTATACCTTACTTGGTACATTTTCATGATTGCCCAGTGTCTTCCTTTCTTTGATACCAATCTAAAGATGGGACAGGTGCTTATTAGTTCATATAATGGAGCAAAGTACCAATTTCTTATTCACTTTTGGCTCCAGGGGATTTATCACCTCATGCATCTTTTGTTCTCAAACACTCGCAATGAGCAATCCCCATTGCTTCCCTGCAGAATCCTTTATATGTATTGCATCTGACTGCTGGCAGATATTAATAGTCCCATCTCACTGAGGCCTCTGGTGTGCTCTTTTGTTATATGTCCAAAGATCTTTTGCATCTGTGAGTAACAATGATCATGGAGCAATTGATTCTCTCTTCCCAGGTACTAAGTTCAACACCATGCAACTTCTACAAAAAACCCACACATTTCACTCTTGGCCATTTTGTGTAGCCTCAGAGGAGTTTTGAGAAAACATATTCCCTACCTCCCTCCTTGATATATCCACCAAGTCTTCTGATATATGAATATATTTTTGCTGAGCAATTCCCATTTCTTATACTGTTGCTTTTTGTTGAAGCCTGATGCCTGTATTGTGATCTGTTTGTATGTTTTGTTTATTACCTGGGTTGCCTCATCCTTCAGTGCTACATAGATTCATCACTCATTCCAATATTTAATCAAACCCAAAATAAGGCAAACCAACTAAAATTGTGACTGCCTTCAGAAATCGCAAGGACCATTTTTGTTGCTGGAAGAGATAAGCCTCCCAGTTTCACCCACATACTTCCGTACTTTCTTTTTATGTAACATGGAACTAATATTTTTCTTGCAAAGCCACCAAAATTGACCTCTTCTCTTTATGAGCAAAATCAGTGGGAGAGTGTTCAAAAACTTGCTGACACAATTCCACATTCTGAAAGGCAAGAGGTTAGAAGACAGTGCAAAATAAAAAAAGTTAAGAATATAATGTAACAGTTTAAATTAAGTGGAAGCTAAGAAAGAAGAGTCCCTTAATCATTTTCAGGGATACAACTCTTAACTTTTTCAGCTCTGAAGGCAAATAATGGAAAGAATAAAATGCTTTAAATAAAACGGTAGATTGAGGTGATGGGATACAATATATAATCACCTCCCAAAATAGAGTTCTTCTCAACTAGTGATTTCAGAAACCTAAAAATTTGGAGGCTGGTAGTATGCTCAGGCGTAGAACACAGGCATAGGGTGTGTTCTAATTTCATTTCTGTGAGAATGATAAAATACCACAACCAAAAGCAACAGAGAGGAGAAAAAAAGCACTTGTTTGGCTTAAAAACCCATGGCACAATCCTTCATTTTGGGCAAATAAAGGCTTTCAGCAACCTTTCTACTCCTTTCTGTTGTTCAGGACCTCCTTCCTAGGGAATAGTGACACCAACATTGGGTGCTGTCTTCCTACATCAATGGACAAAATTTTCCTCCACATATATCCCATGGCCAACCTGATAGAAATAATTCCCCATTAAGATTCTCTTCCAAAATGATTCTAGTTTTTGTTGGCTTGACATTTAAAACTAAATAACAGCTTGGGAAAGTACATGTGTTTCCAGTCAATTATCAATCTTGGGACGGTAGACTGAACTATCATAGAGGTCATTCTGAAGAGCTCAACAACCCAATAACTTTGAATAATGCAAATCTGAATTTGAATTCTGGCCATCCCGTGAGGGACACTGTACATCCTGTGAACCTTTTAAACTTCTGCTTTCCTCGGATCAGGTAATATTACCTATGTCAAATGTATTATGTAGCTCAATTGTACGACGGTTCTGCCAAGAATAAATCAGCAGACAGAGCTGTGGTATAATATGATTGTTTCTCTGTTATTTCCTTCTTCCTGTACTATCTAATTCCTATATGTTTTTCACAAAATTTTTACATAAACTTCGATGCTTCCAGTTTGATTCAAATTTATTTTCAGACTGTGACCTTAGAGAGCCCACTAAATACCTCTTACTTCAGAATCCCCAAATAGCATGCTGTATGGATAGGTTGGTTACTGAACACCTGTAGTTATATTTGTATAATTACACCTACACATTATGAGTGTGTTAAACAGGATTTAATATAATTCTGCATATAATGTTTTCCTTATGAAGCAAGTGACAGGGATTTTTAGTTAAAGTTCAATTTCTCTTAAGATTAAAATGTCCTTCTTCCATGACTTTTGAAAGGAGTCACCCTAGAATGCACGCTAGGGATAGTGGGGGATGAATTGCCTTTTTAAAGTGGACTGTGTCTGAATCTGAACAAAACAAGGGCAGTTCAATTGCCCTAGGAAATTTGAACGGTTCTAGGTATTAATTAGTTGTTTCTTATATCAGAACTCAGGAAATTCATTCCATGCTTTCCTCTCAGAATTTGCTTACTAAAAAGCCTTTCTCAGGGAGCCCCAAAGTGACTTGAAATAAGTTTAAGCTCCTACCAATGATACAGTAAACGTACTACCTAACACCCCAGGGGGTAATCATAGAGACACAATAAATACATACTAAAATATGATTCAGTAAACAGGAAAGTCTGACTTGCCAATATCATCTATGATTATAAACAGTCTTTATTTTTCTTAGATATTACTTTAGTTATGTAAAAGAGAACAAATAATCAGGTATGACACTTGAAGACATGCCTCCTGAGAATTTTGTTTGAGATAATAAGGAAGCATGGGGTAGGCACTAACACTTCAGGGCAGAATAAACTATATATATCTGTGTGTGTGTGTGTGTGTGTGTGTGTGTGTGTGTGTGTGTATGGGTAGATGATTTATAGACAGACAGACAGACAGACAGATAAATTTCTTCCTTGGAAAGGAATTTTATTTAGCATTGTTTTGTTTATTCTTTTTGCATTTGCAGTGAGGTGAATAAATGGTCTCTTAAGCAGAAACTCACCTTTTCAAGCCTTACAACTGTGCAAAGCTGAATTTCAAAAAGAAAATTGATGTTCACCAAAGTGTTACAAAGCAAGAAGAGATGAATGAAAACTTAAGGGAAGAGAAAAGGGAGGGAGAAAAGGAGAAACTCCATACCTCTGACCCCAAATTGAAATTTTACTATCCTTAATGTTCAATAAACCAATGACCTTCCTGACACAGTTCCCTAGTTCTCCTCCCTAACTGCTCTTTTATTAGCACATTCTGCCCCATTATAAGGGATAATGATAATTACTCAAATTTGTACAATATTTTTGAGGATCATGGTAATTATGCAAATCAGAGGGCAAATCAGAGCCTCAATCTCTCAGGAAGCTAGTCATTCCTCTGCTCAGAAAACATCAGCAAAACACAACTGTGGAATGCACAGATCAATCCAGCAGGAGGTCGTATATGAAAGTGGCGTCATCAGTATGACAGTCCCTGTTCAGCCACCTATGAGCTTGTAATGGAACTCAGATCCTAAGAGGAGCATTCCTAATTCATGAAGACTGTCACCAGATGAGACTAGCTGGAGGCTTAAATAAAGACATAAAAGACGAATGAAACCATGAGAGATAATAAGGTTTGGGTGAAAGCATATTTTTGGAAAGTTCAAATAGCAATTTCTAGATTCAAACCAAGCTCTTTGACATTCTTCTCTATAGAACAGGAGAATGAGGTAGTCATGTTTAATTAAGCTCTTCGTGTATAATTCATCAGCAAAGTGGTGCCTGGTAATCCCATATTCCTTTTCTCTTTCAATCTTAACAAT